GTTCCTTAAGGTGGCTCGTACCAGTTTCCTCGCGCGGGGAACAGGTCACTCTTGCGTGACGCGCGCGAGAGAAACGTGCGAAAGAAGCGCGAGATCAAAAGATGAAAATTCAAAACAAAGATGGCGGCGCGTGGAATTTTTTCTACTTTTGTGAGAAGTTTACCTAAGAGCTTGTATTTGATGTGTTGAGCGGCCACTGTGAATGCAGGAGATAGAAACTAAGATAACGAAGACGATTTTCGGAGAAGTAAAGGTTGCTTCACTTCACATTTAAAAGAAATATTCAACCGATATGAAATCTTGCGACGGCGAAAAAAGAAGAACTCAAGTGAAGGATAATCTACCTGAAGTGGAAGAAGACTTTCAAACTTAAAGGAAAATAACATGATATAGGCAGAAGTCGTGTGTAGGATTTTTAAGATGAGCCCGGGAATTCAACCCCGTAAAAGTGTTCAACTGGCCTTGGTCAGTCTTTCTGTTGTATTCTTTCAAAGTTACAATCCATCAAAAAGATGAAAACCGGTACGAGCCACCTTAAACCTAGCAATCTCTATCATAAGATCCTTAAGAACTTTTCTTTTACTTAATTGACGGCTATTGTCATACGAAATTGCTAAACTTTCTTGCCCAGATTACATTTGAGAAGATTTGGTTAAATAGATCAGTCTACAACCAAGAGAGTGACTAAGAAATGCAAGGTGTGACTCTATAATTCAGGGGAATTAATAAACCAGAACCTAGTTAAACCGACAAAGTCAAACCTAAGTGCTAGAAAGTACCGCGTGAAAGAATAACTAACTAGATTACGTCCATTTTGAAATCGCTGGTGGTCCCTGTAATCGGATTGAATCTAATTGGTGTGATTTATTCACGAATCGCACCATTTCTTGCTCTGAAACGCATCATTTTAAACTTGACTGAGTTTTTGACACATGACGTCAAAGTCTTTCGTTTTCAAAATGGATGTAATAAAGTGGTAATTGAACCTCGTGTCTGATAGTTTTTTTTTCAGACTCTTAAGACTAAAGTACAATCTACAAAGCATATGAAAAAGGTTAAGTGTAGAAAATCTTTGAAAAATACTTATCACTGGAAATAATTTTAAAACAGTAGAATACAGATTAAAAAGGAAAGCTTTCACAGGTAGCTTCGAGTTCTATCTTTTCCAAATACCAAAACAAGCGCTTCCTGGTCTCAGGTGTGACCTTCTAATTCTGGTAAAGTAATAAACCAGAAGCCAATCAAATGAACAAAGTAAAACCAAAGTGCTAGAAAGTACCAGGTAAAAGAATGGCTAAATAGATTTTAGTAAATCAATGGATAAAAAAATAAAATGACTAATTTTGTTTTTCAGACAATTAAGACTAAAATACCATCTACAAAACAAACGAAGAAGGTTAAAAGTACAAAATTTGTACAAAATACCTATATAGCACTGGAATTATAATAAAAAAAAGTATAATACAAGTTAAGAAGGAAAACCTGTACAGATAGCTTTAAGTTCTATCTTTTACAAATTCAGCTAACTATAGTCTACCAAAATAAGCATTTTCCGGTTTCCTGTTGGGAACCGTGAACGATGCCTTATTTCATTTTGGTGGTTATTGTTCTTTGTTGTGTATGACCGGAAATGACTTCACTCAATTTCCCAGAATGTACTTTGTAATCCTAGGTATCATGTAGCTAGTTAGTTAAATATAGTGATCCTGCATGCGCTCGTGTCGGTTGATGCTATAGTTAAGCCTGGAGTTTAAGCGGAGTGATTCTTAGAATAAAGGAGCTGATTAATTAGGAAACGTGTTGGTGCATTTTCGACATTCCTTATTATAAATGTCATGAACATCTGTTTGAAAATAGTTATGCAGTTAGAGAGGAACCAATCCCATTGTTCATTACCTGGCTAACTAACAAATATATTGTAAGTGCAGGAGCAAAATTTTAACATAGGTCAAAGTGTGACAATTTTTAGTGTTTGGTGACAAACTGCTCCTGACAAATAGTCCCTTTCAGTTTACTTTTTCACAGCAATGCTTCTCTGCCAACTCCCCCAGTTCAGCTCCCACTAGTGCCTGATGCAGTTTCTCCCATGTAGCAGCTCTCCCATTTTTCTGTTTCCATTTTCGCAGCATTGTGTATATTTTTTCATAACATTCCTCATTTTCCTTATGTATCGCTGTGATCTTTGGATCATCAATCTTTAACTTCCTTGCAACTTTCTTCCAGTCCTCAGGGTTAATGTCATTGGCCAGTAGTTCCAATTCGTCATTTTCAGGATTGCCTTTTTTCACTACCACAGAAAAAATGAATTCAAATCAAAATACATCAAAAGTGCATTCTATTTTACAGTAAATACAGCTGGAAAACATGTTTAAGCATATCGAGAGATGACATATTTTCCCAATATTGTCTCTCACAGCTGTGAGGGTGATACTGCTCCAGCTTATCCTAGTTTCCATGGAGCAACTTAGTGTGGCTACCTCTTGTGGATGGGATACAAATCCATCACAAGTAACCACACACCCCCAACCCCCCCTTCCACCGCTCAACATTTAATCAGATTCTTTAACAATTTATCAGTAACCATTTGCACTTGTGAATGGAGGTGGGCAGTGCAATAGTAAAATGTCTTCCCGAAGAACAATACTAAATGACGCTGCCATGGCTTAAACACAGAATACCCCTTAAACTGGAGTCCAGCACATTGACAAAATGGAAACCATTGTGGGTCCTATGCCACAGGCATCACAGTGATCCAAGAAATTTTTACTAGCTCTATAATCCCCCTAAAGGTCAACCAATCAAGCTACTGATCATATGTCTGCCAATGGAATCACTTCGATTGTGAGGGAGAACAAAATCTGCTCACTAACTGCCACCATTTTTGCCCATACAATTGGTGACATGCATAGTTAAAAAAAAAAATCATCCTGGTAATAACCGAGCTGAAGTGTTTATGAGGAAAAAATTATTGCCCTGTTCCCAGGAACCAAGATCTTTGGAACCAAGCCAGACCACGTGCTCACATGAACATATGAAGATATTTAAGAAAGGATTAGGGATGTGCCAAGATCTCAGGAACCACTGGCCAGCCTGGTCAACCAGGATCAAAGGAAGAGGCCCTTTGTCTCTAAATTAGTAGGCATTAAATCAAACAAGATAGTAAGTTTTGAGCACGGTAAAGAAATAGAGAAGATGTTTTTCGTCTTGCATGAGCATGGGACGAATGAAAATTCTGAGTTCCCACGAGGAGTCAAATCTCAGACCTTTGGAATTTCTCTACTATGTATGTATTCATGCACATCTTCACAGCACTTTCTAGAGGCACCCATACTTAGGTCAAACTTGCACCCATTTCAGCCACATTAGAGTGAATGCTAAAGCCACAGACCCTCAGGATAAAGTGGCAGATTGTCCAATAAACTACTTGCAGATGTATCTTAATTAGAACTGTTTCAATAGTTTTCCTGTTTTTTTTTTCAAGTGTGTGTGTTTATATCCATACAATAATTGCACCAACATTGTCAATTAAGAAAACAAGCATATAGAAAAAGTTAGATTAAGGAAAAATAACCCTATTTATCTAAATATCTAGATCTGAAATATAAGTCAGAAAAAGTAAACTTAGTTAAGCTAATTCATACTGATTTATGAATGTTTTGATCCTAGTTATCCTATTCTTTTTTTTTTTTTAATTCATCATCACTGTTTCAGGGTTGTTGCTAATTCCCAGGAAAAATTACAATTAAAAAAATATTAATTAAAACCTGATTGCATGGCCTTTTTGTTATTCTCCTGATTGACAACTTAGCTATTGCAAGTAGGGTGCATGTATATGACTTCTTTATCACTTTTCAGTTACAATTAGCCTGTTTGTCTACTAGCTTACTCGTATTCATGATTGCTATGGATTCATGGACAGTTACTTATAGTAACCGTTTGGTTCAGATTTGATCAAGTCAACCATTCAACTTTCTTACCCCGTAGATTGATAGATTCTTCCCTTTCT